ATATCAGTTCAGCTTTATATCTTTTCCATAACTTACTTTTCAATTTTTCAGTAATGTGTGTCTTTTAAACCAAGTTTCACTATACCTTCCTTATTCTTTGCACCAAGGGTTGACTTCATCATTTGTATGGTTTCTTTCCAAGAGGAGATCCATTTCTTTCATTTCTTCATTTCTGTTCTTTTTCCCTTACATCCTGTGATGGAGAACTCACTACCTTAAAAGACACCCTACTGAGATTTCAGACAGTTCTAATCATTCAGAGTGGTTTTTTGTTGTGGAGCTGAAATCTTCCTCCCAGTAGTTTCTACACAGATTGGTCCTGGTTCTGCCCTCTGGAGTGGTACAAAACAAGTATGAAAAAACCAAAGCACCTTTTACCCTTGGTAGCTTGACTCTGCCAGAGTTAATGTTCTGGTTCTTTCCCCTTCCCATCTGCAAAATTGGAGACATAGTAGTACCTAATTCATGGATGGGTAAGAGGAATAAATAAGTCAGTATGTGTAAAGGACCTGAAATAGTCCCTAGCATATAGAAAGCACTCTATAAACCTTAACTGTAATAATAGTTATAGTAATAGTAGTTGTATGAGAGTGCTAATAATACTACTAATTATCATTCTTTTATTATTGACATTAATTGAGCACTTATGCCGGACATTGCACTGAACACTTTCAGTATGCTATCTCATTTATTATTTATTTTTATTTATTTATTTTTAGCTGAGCCATCCTGCTACCTGTTGGCAGCTCAGTGGCAGCTCAGCTTGGGCTGGGCATCGAACCGCTGTTTTTCAGAGCTCAAACTCTTGAGCGAGCTCTTAACCAACTGAGCCACTTGGCCGGCCCCAGTATGCTATCTCAGTTAATCCTTAAACAGTTATGTTCTTACCAAGAACCTCCCTAGTTACTTCACCTCTTTTTTTTTAAGTTAATTAATTAATTTTATTTTTTTGTTTATTTTTATTGGGGAGCAGTGTGCCTTTCCAGGATCCATCACCTCCAAGTCAAGTAGTTGCTTCAATCCAGTTGCACAGGGCGCATCTCAGTGGCCCATGTAGGGATCAAACTGGCAACCTTGGTCTTATGAGCACTACACTCTAACCAACTGAGCCAGCCGGCACCCGCACCCGCCCAGCACACTTTACCTCTTTATTTTTAAAGATTTTATTGGGGAATTGGGGGAGGGGAACAGTGCTGGGGAATCAGGGGAAGGGGAACAGACAAGTTGCTATCCTTTTGTTCTTCAGTCTTGCTGTGGAGGACATTGTTTCTCTGGCCCATGTTGGTATTATCATTGGGCTCTTCCTGGGTGAGGCAGATCGGTCGCCGGCCTCTGGACGGCCGCTCAGGGCGGCTCTTGGCAGCTCACACCAGCTGCCGGCTGCTCACACTGGCTGCCAGCCACACAGGGTAGCTTATGGCAGCCCACTGCAGGAGGGGCTGTGGCCTGCGTCATTGCCGGCGACTCACGGCAGTCCAGCTCCAGGTCGAGCTGTTGTTCACCATCTTAGCTGTAGAGAGCAGTGTCACTGGCCCTCATATGTGGGATCCGAGCCAGGGCCCTTGCTGCTCAGAGCTGGCATCCCAAGCCAGCTCTTAACCAACACGCTACTCAGCTGGCCCCCCACTTTACCTGTTTCTGATGTGACATTTTTTTAATTAGTTTCAGGTGTACAAAACAATGCAAGTTATATGACATTTTTTAAAAGTCACTCACTATCCTACGTGATCCTGAATTTGTAAATGTCTCTGAAAATACTGAATATTCTGCCTAATGTAGAATGGAGTGATCTTATCCAATCCTTCATTCTAAAATAGCCACTATATATCTATAGATGCGTTCTAAGAGCATAGTAGATTTTTGTGGATATCATATCACACAGTTGAATCCACTTTTAAGTTAGTCAACTGAGACCCTCAGATCTGTTTCATACATCCCTGTTAATGCACTTCTGTAAATCATTTTAGTTTTAACCCAGGTACAGAAGCTACTATTTTTCTGGGTTAAATGTTGTCTTAGATTCACTCCCTCATTCTTTGAATCCAGATTCTGTCATTCAGTACATTAGCTACAAAGTATTAACTTCATTCTTTGAATCCAGATTCTGTCATTCAGTACATTAGCTACAAAGTATTAACTTAAAGCACAGCATTAGTACTAAATAGGCTGACAACTTCAACAAGCTCAGCAAAGATCTAAGGGCAGATCTCCACAAAGAGCTCTGACTCCAAATGAAAAAATTCCTTTTTTCTGTTGAGTGTGGCAGCCAGGAGTGTGCCCTGCTCCGCCATTTCTCTTCCTTTCCTCTCTCGGTGTGCCTTCTCAGGGTGGGATTACTTTCTAGTGCTGCTGAAAGAAGACAGGGTTGCCCCTGAAAGCTCCCAAGCCAGTATAAATTAACCCTCCTGAGAATTTGGTAAGTGTGACGGGGCCTGCAAGGTAGATATGAGGAATTAGAACCAGGAAAAGAGGAAGAAAGACAGTGTCTTCGTATATTGGCTCTAAGTCTCCGCCTGACAGTAGTTGATTTGGGGTTCCCTTGAGAGAGAGGGCTCTTCAAGAAGGATTAGGAGAAGGTGGTTCTGCCATGGTGACAACCATTTGTTACAAAGGAATGTGGTCAGCCACGTGTTCGTGTGTGGTCGGGGTGGGGGGCTGTGAAATAATCCTGATGAATTTGATTTGATACTGCTGATTTAGGGTCCTGGGAGACATGTTGCTGGGCTCACTACTGCTAGTGAGGGTTTAAGTCTAAGGACCTCCATTTTACAGGTGAGATAACTAAGGCTCTGGGAGGTTACAAATTGTTTCCATGGAAACATGAGCTAGTAAGCAGCTGAGATGGGATTTAAACCCCGGCAGTGTGACATGAGAAATTGAACCTTTAAGCACTTTGTAAAACCGCTCCTGGGCAGTGGGCTCCAGACATGTTTATGTGCAGCCAGGGTGGGCAGACAGGCCTTTTCATGTCGAAGGAGCTGAAGGCAGGCAGGGCAACTATGCCTGCAAGGGGGGGAGGGCAGTCAGCCCCTGGCAGCTGCTGCCCTGACAATAGTCTCCAGGGGTGCAACCTTTCTCTGAGGGATCTGAGGAAACCCAGGGTGGGTTTCTGGTTCAGGGATTCCTGTACCCTGGTGAGGCTGCACTTCTATGGCAGGACCAGAGCAGCCCCTCCCTCAAAGCCCCCAAGCACAGACTCCACCAAGGTCTCCTTTCACTTTGCAGGGCTTATCTGCCTGGAGTTGAGAAATTCTGCCCTCTCCAGCCCAGAAGTTTCCCCTACTGCTGCTGCCTCTGCATTCTTTCCTAATGACACCCATGGCAGTACTTTGGTCTCAAGACTTGCTGCTGTGGGCTGCAGCAGGCCCTGTCCAGCCTGTGGCTCGCAGGCTCCCCTCCCCTACCCCAGCCCCAGGGGAAATAGCCAAGTGGGAAATGCGGTGACTACAGCCTTCTCATTTCTGCTTCTGGCCGCACCTGCCTGGGCCTATACACACACATACACGTGCACCCACACACCCTGTACATGCCCAGAGAAATAAGAAAGGGGCTCTGAGGAAAGGTGGGGTAGCAAAAAATCAGGCTGCTGGGAAACACCCAGGGACAGGGAAGGCAGGTCCAATTTGTGTCCAAGGGAGGCAGCACCAGGCTCTGGGTTGGACGGGATTTGGGCTGTCACCCGCCAGAGGGCTCCAGAGGCCTGAGAGCGTTCTACCTCTTTCCAGCCTCTGTCCTCCTCCTACCTACAAGGTGGAGGAAGGGACTGTGGTAGAACATTGAACGAGGTCTCTTCCAGCTCTAGGATTCTATGGTACAGTGCTGCCTACCACCATGAGGAAGTCTTCTCTTTGGAACACCATTCAGCCTGAGTGGGGACCTCTGCAGACTGTGGCTACAGCTGCCTTTCCCAAGATTCAGTTGAGCTCAGAGGCCAGAGCTCACTCTAAGCTGGCCTTATCTGCCCGGCTCCTGCACACTCAAAGCCTTACTCTTGGCCTTCCAGAGACTCTGAAAGGCCCAGAACAACCTTAGTCTGTGATCTGGGTGACAGATGTTGGGACTGAGGCAAGGTAGGCTACCTACTTTGCAGGGCCTAGTGTAAAATGACAATGCAAGGCCCCTTGTTCAAAAACCAAGGAAAAAAAAATAAACTCTATTTTGGAATACTTTTAAAAAACAAGAAGAAAAGAACCATTAAAAGTCTAAAATACAGGTATAAAGCTTTTCTTTAAACTGTGGTCTCTCAATTTTTCATGTTTTTTTTTTTAAATAGACTTCATTTTGTAGAACAGTTTTAGATTTACAGAGAAATTGAGAAGATACTATAGAGAATTCTCATATACCCCACACCCAGTAGCATCTTACAACAGTATGGCACATGTATTATAATTAATGAACCAATATTGGTACATTGTCATTAACTAAAGTCTGTACTTTATTCAAATTTCTTTTGTTTTAACCTAATGCCCTTTTTTTCTTCTGGATCCCATCCAGAATACCCTCTTACTTTTAGTTTTCATGTCTCCTTAGGCTCCTCATGGCTGTGACAGTGTCTCAGACTCTCTGATTTTCATGACCTTCATAATTCTGAGTGTACTAGTCAGGTATTTGTAGAATGCTCGTCTGTTGGGATTTGTCTGTTGGGATTTGGCTGTGTTTTTTTCTTAGTTAGATTGAGGTTATGGATTTTAGGGAGGAAGATCACAGAGATAAAATGCCATTTCATCACATCATATCAAGGCTACATGCTATCAGTATGATTTATAACCATGCTATCAATACGATTTATAACCACTGAATTGACCTTGTCATGGTGCTTTTTAGTTATCATTTAATGTTCTAAGTAAAGGAAAATTAAAATGTTAAGTAGTTAGCATGAATTAAATAGTTTATGTTGTACAATGCCTGTTCTAAATGCAAATACAAGATTCATGCAGAATCACCAAAATCACACAATTCATATTTTGTAGCCCGTACATGCATACGTATTTACTTCTTACCAGCACAGTGGAAACGCTGCACAAAACTTTTTATTTCACTTCTTGATACATGCACATGTGTACATTCTACAGGACTGAAAGGGAAAGAAACCATGGGTTGCTCTGTTTTTCCCTTTGTTGTCATTTTCAACATAAGTGGCTGACAAATACAGGGAAGTAACACGTGTAAAAAGGATATGATTGGGTTTCTTGGTTATTTGTGTTTCTTAAAATGTGATTCTGTGTTGGAAGTAAGTTCTGAATGGAACCAAAAGGGTGGCCTCTACTGGCTGTCAGCAGTCATAGAAGTAACATATTTATCATTTACTTGCTTTGAGTCCACTGGAATTTTGTGCTTCTGGAGCACAAGCAACACGGTGTGCAAGTGGGGCAGCAAGATGGCAGACGCACATTGCGTTTCTCCTTTCCTGTTCTTTTGCAAATACCATGCTGTCTTGATTACTGCAACTTTATAGAAGGCTCCAAGTCAAATATTGTCAGTTCTCTGATATTGTTCTTTTTCAAGATTATTTGAATTGCTACAGATCCTGTACATTTCCTCACAAATTTTTTTGAATTTTTTTTTTATTTTTTAAAGATTTTATTGGGGAATCGGGGAGGGGAACAGACAAGTTGCTGTCCTTTTGTTCTTCAATCTAGTTGTGGAGGATGTTGCTTCACTGGCCCATGTAGGTATTATCATTGCACTCTTCCCGGGTGAGGCAGTCACTTGTGGTGGCCCACGGCAGCTCACGTTGGCTACCAGCCGCACACGGTAGCTCATGGCAGCCCACTGCAGCAGGGGTTGCAGCCTATGCCGTCCCCGGCAACTCACGGCAGCCCAGCTCCAGGTTGAGCTGTTGTTCACCATCTTAGCTATGGAGGGCGCAGCGTCACTGGCCCTCATGTGGGATACAAACCAGGGCCCTGCTGGTCAGAGCTGGCACTCCCAAGCCAAATCTTAACCAACGTGCCACTTGGCCAGCCCTCCTCACATATTTTAGAATCAGCTTGTCGATTTTCACACAAAAAGTCAACCAGGAACTTATTTGGAATTATATTGACTATACAGATGAATCTGGGGAGAATTGCCACTTTGACAATATTGAGTCATCTGATATGTGAACATGGTATACTTTGTCATTTTTTTAGGTCTTCCATAATTACTTTCTGCAGTATATCATAGTCTTCATGTATTGTATAAAATTTATGCCAAATTACTTCATGCTTTTTGATGCCATTGCAAATGGTATTTAAATTTTTTCATTTTCTAATTATTTCTAGTATATAAGATATATACTTGATTTTTATATATTGACCTTGAGACCATGCTAAATTCACTAATTCTAATAACTTTTTGTAGATCTTAAGGCATTCTATGTACATGCTCATGATATTCCGCAAATATAGCCAGTTTTACTTCTTTTCCCATCTACAGGCCTTTTTTCCTTGCCTTATTGTACTAACTAGAATTTCCAGTACATTGTTGAATAGCAGCGGTAAGAACAGACCCTATCATAGGAGAAAAAGCATTTAGTCTTTCACTATTAAGTATGATGTCAGCTGTACTTTTTCATAAATGCCTTATTTCAGGCTGAATAATTTTCTTTATAAATAGAAAGGAAACTGTAAATGGAGTTTCCTGAGAGATTTTTATCATAAATGCATATTGGGTTTTTTGTGGTTTTTTTTTTAACAGTGTTGGGGAATTGGGGGAGGGGAACAGCCAAGTTGTTGTCCTTCAGTCTTAGTTGTGGAGGGCGCAGCTAGCTCAGCTCCAAGTCCAGTCGCCATCCAGCTGCCCATCGGTAGCTCGCAGCTGCTCAGCTCAAGGTGCCATGTTCAATCTTATTTGCAGGTGGGCATAGCCTACCATCCCATGCAGGAGTAGAACCGGCAACCTTGTTGTTAGGAGCATGTGCTCGCACCAGCTGAGCCATCCTGCCACCGGTTGGCAGCTCAACAGCAGCTCAGCTCGGGCGCAGCTCAATGGCCCATGTGGGAATCAAACCGGCAACCCTGTTGCTCAGAGCTTGCGCTGTTAACCAACTGAGCCACTCAGCTGGCCCCACTAATTTTCTTTTATGAATATAGGCAGTGGAAATCTGGAGATGGCTTGTACCAGCTAATAAGAGGTGATTGTTACCATCTCTTAACAAATCTTCATGGGTCCTGGGAAAAAAACAAACACATTGTTCCCCAATTAAAAACAAAAAAAAAGAAGTAAAGGTAGATGTGACAGCAATGTGAAATCAAATACAGAATATCAATAAAGACAAATTACTATTATTTTTTATTGGGGAACAAAGTGTTTGTTTTTGTTTTTGTTTTTCCAGGACCCATCAGCTCCAAGTCAAGTTGTTGTCCTTCAATCTTAGTTGTGGAGGGCACGGCTCAGCTCCAAGCCCAGTCACCATTTTCAATCTAGTGGGCACAACCCACCATCCCATGCGAGAGTCGAACCGGCAACCTTATTAAGAGCACACGTTCTAACCAACTGAACCATCCGGCCGCCCACCGACAGCTCAGCTCAAGTCATTGTCTTAAATCTAGTTGCGGAGGACGCAGCTCACTAGCCTATGTGGGAATCAAACCCAGTAACCCTGTTTCTCAGAGCTCACGCTCTAACCAACTGAACCACCAGGCCACCTCAACCTTTACTTCTTTAATTATGGTTTCCTTTAGTTCTGTGATCACATTTATACTGGCTAGTTTGAAGTCTTGTTAAATCTAACATCTGGTTACTCTGACAGGCAGGTTTATTGCCTCCTTTTTCTCTGATATATAGGTCATACTTTCCTGGGTTTTTTTGAAACTGGACATTTTAGATAATGTATTGCAGCAACTCTGGGTATTTCCTCCCTCTCCCCGTCTGGGGCTTGTTGTTGTTATTTTCATGTTTATTTTTTAGTGACTAGTTGGATTATTTTAGATGATTTAGATTATTTTAGATAATCTAGCTAGTCTCTAAACAAATAATGTCTGTGTCCACACACAGTGTGAAATCTCTTATTTTGCTCCTCAGTGGGCCCAGTCACCCTGGGAAGACAGTGGTTTTGGCAGGGCTCTCTTTAACTGTCTAGTTCCCTGACCACACACAGCGTTTTACATGCTATTAATTGCCTGCTGGTTGCCCTATTGTTTTTAACAATGCCCTGAGGAATAAATTGTTCTCCAGACTATGCTCCTAGGTCTCCTAGCCCTCTCTCTCCCCCAGGTTTTCTCCCATAAATGAGCAGACGCAGGGTTTAGTCTTTATCTCCAATGAATCTACCATAGTTCTTGCAATAGCTTTTCACCATGTGTAGTGTTATGACACCACACACCACTTCTAATACCAAAGGCATTGTTTTTCAACACCAACCAATTCTCTAATTTTCCAACACCAGATGTGTGTTCTACAATTCAACTCAATTCCAATACTAATTCATCAGAGTTAATGCAGATCCCACAGGTTAAGGGCTGAATCTTACAAAAATGCCCCCACTTCAGACACCAGCCACAAATGGGGTGCCCAGGCTGCCCACACTTTGACCCAGCGACTACAAATTTGGGGGTACCATGACCTCCTCCTCAATTTTGATAATTTACTAAAACAACTCACAAAACTCAAGAAAGTGCTTTAGTTACTAGTACTGGTTTATTTTAAAGGATACAGCTTAGCTAAATGGAAGAGAGGCATAGGGCAAGGTATTGGGGGGAAGGGAGTGATGCAGGGTTTTATCACATAGGCATGATAGATTAAATCATTGGTTGTTGGTGATTGAACTCAAATCTCCAACTCTTCTTCCCTCCCCAGAGGTGGGGGTAAGGTGAAACTGCAAGTTCCAACCCTCTAATCATTTGTATCATTTGTTTGATCTTTCTGGTGACCATCCTCCATCCTGAAACTAGGGGTGAGTCACCTCTTTAGTATGAACCCAGATGTGGTCAAAAGGGACTCATTATGAATAATAAAAGACACTCCTGTTATTTAGGAAACCCCAGAGTTTTAGGAGCTCTGTGCTAGGAACTAGAGACAAAGACCAAATATGTATTTTTATTACATAACACACCACAACTTCCATTATTTTCAAGAGCAACTTTAGGCTTGATCTTCTCTACACTCTGTACAAATGAAGTCATTTTCTTTGTGAAGAGATTTGAAGCTCTCTGTTTTACAGACTGCTTCTCTGCCCAGGTAAACTCCATGGCTCTGGAGTTTACAATATTTGTTTTATATTATCATGGCATAACTTCAAATAATATTATATGACTCTGTGGATAACGGAAGAACTTTACAACTGTGTGTGCCTCCTCTCACCCTTTTTTCTATTGTTATTTTACATTTTTTTCTACATGTGTTATAATCCCATAATACAGTATTATTATTTTTATTGTATAATTATTTCTCTTTAACAGTGTTATTGAGACATAATTTATATGCCATATAATTCACCCGTGTAAAGAGTACAAATCAGGGCGGCCAGTTGGCTCAGTTGGTTAGAGTGCAGTGCTCATAACACCAAGGTTGCCAGTTTGATTCCTACATGGAACAATGAACTGGGCCCTCCACAACTAGATTGAAGACAATGGCTTGACTTGGAGCTGAACTGCACCCTCCACAACTAGATTGAAAACAACGACTTGACTTGGAGCTGATGGGTCCTGGAAAAACACACTGTTCCCCAATATCCCCAACAAAAATTTATAAAAAAAAAAAAAGAGTAGAAATCAATGGTTCTTAGTACGTTCACAGAGTTGGGCAACCGTCACCCAATCTAATTTTAAAACATTTTCATTATGTCAAAAAGAAACCTGGTATCCATACCAATAATTTCCTATCCCTACCCTGCCGCCAGCCCCAAGCAACTACTAATCTACTTTCTGTCTCTATACATTTGCTGATATGGCAATTTCTTATAAATGAATAATAAAATATGGGGTATTTTGTGATTGACTTCTTTCACTTAGCATGTTGTTTTAAAGGTTCATCCATGTTGTAGCATGTTTCAGTACTTCCTTTTATTGCCAAATATATTCTATGATATATACCACATATTGTTTATTCATCAGTTGATAGACATTTGGGATTTTTTCCACTTTTTCCACTGGCTATTATAAACAATGTTGCTATGAAAATTTGTGTTTAAGTTTTGCGTGTCTGTATCTTTTCATTGCTTTTGATTATGTATCAAAGAATGGAATTGCTGGGTCATATAATAAATTATCTTTAACATTTTGAAGGACTGCCAATCTATTTCCCAAATTGGGTGCATCATTTTACATTCCCATTAGCAATGTTGGAGGGTTCCAGTTTTTCATCATCCTTGCCAAAGCTTGTTATTTTCCATCCTTTTCATTTTAACCATCCTATTATATGTGAAGTGTTACCTCTTTTAGGTTCTGACTTGCATTTCCCTAATGACTAATGATATTGAGCTTCTTTTCATGTGCTTATTAGTTATCTGTCTTTGGAGAAATGTCTATTAAAATCATTCACCTATTTTTCAATTGGGTTGTCTTTATGTTTGAATTTCCAGAGTTCTTTATATATTCTGGAAATTAGTTCCTTATCAAAGAAATGATTTGCAAATATTTTTTCCCATCCTCTGGGTTGTCTTTTCACTTTTTTAATGGTATCATGCTTTTCTGAAGCACAAAAAATTTTCATTTTGATGATGTCTAACATATCTTTTGTCACATATGTTTTTGTTGTCATATCTAAGAAAATGTAAAACACAAGGCCATGAAGATTTACACCTATGTTTTCTTCTAAGAGTTTTTTGTTTGTTTGTTTAATTGGGGAGCAGTGTGGTTTTCAAGACCCATCAGCCCCAAATCTAGTAGTTGTTTCAATCCAGCTGTGAAGGGCACAGCTCAGTGGCCCATGTGGGGATCAAACCGGTAATCCTGGTGCTGTGAGCACTGCGCTCTAACCAACTGAGCTAACCGGCCACCCCTCTTCTAAGAGTTTTATAATTTTAGCTCTTACATTAACACTTATGACCCATGTTGAGTTAATTTTGTTGTATGGTATGATGTAGTGGTCTAAATTCAATTTTTGGCAGGTCGATATCCAATTGTTCCATCACTATTTTTTTTAAGATTTTATTGGGGAGTTAGGGGAAGGAACAGCGTTGGGGAATCAGGGAAGGGGAACAGACAAGTTGCTGTCCTTTTGTTCTTCAATCTATTCCATTTTACATTCTGACAAGAATTTTAAGTGTCTTTATTGCCCTTATAAGCTAATTGAACATTTCAGTTGTTTACCATGTATTGATTTCTGGATTTATTTCTTATTATAACAAACATAATCCATATCCTTTTGGAAAAAGTGGTGATGGGCCGGCCGAATGGCGTGATGGTTAAGAACTGGCTTGGGATGCCAGAGTGCCCCGGTTTGGATCCCACATATGAGGGCCAGTGACACTGCCCTCTACAGCTAAGATGCTGAACAACAGCTCAACCTGGAGCTGGGCTGCCGTGAGTCGCCGGCGACAGCGTAGGCTGCAGCCTCTGTGGCAGTGGGTTGCCATGGGCTACCGTGTGTGGCCGGCAGCCAGCGTGAGTGGCCAGCAGCCGCAGTGAGCGGCCGTCCAGAAGCCGGCGACTGATCTGCCTCACCTCGGAAGAGCGCAATGATGGTGCCAACTTGGACCAGTGAAGCAACGTCCTCCATAACTAGACTGAAGAACAAAATGACAGCAAGTTGTCTGTTCCCCTTCCCCCAATTCCCCAGCACTGGTCCCATCCCCCCAATTCCCCAATAAAAAATCTTTTTAAAAAAAGTGGTGATTAGTGAGCAAAGAAAAAGAATCAGTGGAGGCACGGGACGATAGAGGACCCAGGAGAAGGGGCATCAGTGCCCACTGACATGGTAACAACTAGGGGACAACATGGTATGGGCATGCCTGCAGAGGAATGGTATGGAGGTGCCTAACCATCAGGGGAACTGCACTCATTTTTGAGGATAGGCAAGACCTATTTTTGGTTACCATGGAGGAAAAACCATTGCGTCTTCTTTTCAGTGTACACACTTTCAGTGTACACACTGTGCACAAATGCACTATGCAAGCATAATGTTTTTACAAAAACGGGCTGATACTGTGTATGTGGTTCTGAAAAGTTTTTTCTTTACTGTTGTTTTACAAAGTACCATGGACATCTCTTCCATGCACATGGGTAGAAATCCCCTACTGAAACAGAGTTCTGTAGTTGGATCAAAAGGCTGCTGCCAACAAGAGTGACACCTAAAGCAAACTATCAGCTTAAAGTTAAAGCACATGGCCTGGCAAATACCTGCCAGGGAAAGCAGGGTCAGCAATACTCTCATCAGAAAAACCAGAAATGAAGGCCAAGGACACTAAAAATATGGGATATCATGTAAGCCCTTTTGGCCCCTACCTCCGCCCTTCACTCCCCTGACACCCCGTTGGCCCTTTGGGGCGAATGGATCCTGCACATCTCTTTGCATCCAATGAAAACCACCCATTTTCTGTGTTTTCCTTAGCTCTTCCTGAGCCCTTGACACATCTCTACATTCTCTCATCTCCTCACTGCCCACGTGCCTGTCCTGTGAGTCGTCCTGATAGTCCTTGGGGGAATCGTCCGTCCCCCTGTCTGTTTTTCGTTTTGCTTTCCGAGGCACATAATCTTCAGCCGGGCGCTTCTCGGCAGCCCTTGGCTCACTCCCTGACTTTGCCTGGGGTTCCGGCTTGCCCTCACTGCGTGCTTTTCCCTCATCTTCAGACTTGCCCAGCTTTTCTTGCTCCCCAGCATCATCTGGCTGTCCCTCGTCATCTGGCTGTCCCTCGTCCTGAAGCTTTCCCTCATGGTCTGGCTTTCCCTCCACTTCGGGCTTTTCCTCCTCATTTGACTTTCCTTCATCTTCTGTATCTACTTCATCTTCTGGCTTTCCTTCATTTTCATTGTAGAATCTTTCCATGTTGAGATGTCCCCTCCTTTTCCTGTCCTGGGGAGTGGGGTGGGGTGGGGTTAAAGGAGACAAAGAGGAGACAAGGGAGACTGAAGGCTGGGAAGTGGAATGTAGGTCCGGATAGCACTGGCATCTCGCCCCTTGTCAGGGTTTCTAGACCTGGCCTTCTGCCACCCTTTCCCTCACCATCCCTTCCACACACGTGAGCCAACCGTTTCCCTAGTGGGCCCTACCACCTTCTGTACCATCCTTCAGGGTGGTGGGGTGTGTGTATGTTGTATGTGGAGGTAGGATGGGCAGTGGGCCATCAAATTCTGTCCAAGCCGTGCCCTCCACACACACCCCGTCCCTGTCCAATGCCTCCCCTCTTTCACTGACCTGCAGGAACTGTGTACAGGTCCTTCCTCCTTTTCTAGCCTTCCAAGTGCTGATGACACAGGCAGACCTGCAGACAGCAGACAGGGGCAGGGGCTGCGTGCTCAGTGGACTGAGAGTCCTTTCCTGAATCCACACCTTCCACATTCAACGTTTCCTTCCCCTACACCTCACCCCACCCCACCTCACCCCTTCCGCATGTCAGTCACCTTAGCTGTTTTCAGGCCTCAGCCACCAGGCCAGGATGCTTTCCAAACTATTGGGCCTCTGTGTCCCCCTCCCCTGCAGGCAACCCGCCCCACCCCCACCCCCTTTTCGCGAAGGTCAATATGTCCTCATAGGCGCACTGTGTGAGACGGGGGTTATTCCCAGAACATGCATAGTTTCACTGTCGCACTGTGGGGACGCCACCCCATTTCAGGCTGGAGAATGGATGGAGGGCAGAGTTGGGGAGCCGACAAGGCGGAGGGGTCTGTAGCGGGGTCCTCCCTCTCCACCTGCCCATGCCTGCTCCGTGACACCCTCCTCCCCAATCTCCGGACCCCTCCTCCTCTCTCCCCCTCCCTTTCCCTCCTCTCCCCCGCCTCACTCTCCCCACGCCGCCGCTCGCGGATCC